TACTCGAATCTCGAATAGCGAGAATTCAACGAGGTTATGTCGTAAAAATGAAAAACTGCGTGATCCTATTGCCAAGTTTTTTGATATAGATATTATTATGTATAATGCTATTGTTAAGTAACAATAAACATACTTATGTTCAGTGGCTTTTTGTGAATTATATTGCAGACTGAGTTGGTACAATAACAGTTGACTTTATATAGTCAGAATTTTAATTAGATTCCAGAATTGACAATAGCTCAGTAGCTATATTTCACAAAATGACAGTTCATTTTGTGAAATAATGATACCACATGTAATAGTGTAGTGTTTTATAATAAATGTTACAGAAAGTGACAGGATAGCGACAGCGATGACGGCGACAATTTATAAAATAACTTATTATTATTTTATTTCCTGATATACTTAGTTTAGAGTAAAATTATAAGCGAGAAGAATCGATCCAGAAATATTGCATTTCCATATCGAATAATTTCGCAACGTCACTATTTAGTACTTGTCATAACGTTGCAACACTGAAACTGTCAAATCTGGAATCGAATTAAAATTCCGAGTATAGAAGTGTATTCAAAAGTTCTTTTTACATATTACTTAGAAAGTTAAAAAACTATATAAAGATAAATCCAACCTATACTAAAAGACTATGAAAATGTGTCCAATTTGCGCACTTATTTTATGAAATAAGCCGGTAAACTAGCAGACGGATCACTTGATGGTAAGCAATTGGTGCCGCAGATGACCTGAAACATCAGAGGTCTTACAAGTGCGTTGCCAGCCTTTTGGTGATTAGGAATTTGAGCATTATTGAAGATTCATGAGATTGGGGACATTGGGAAGGGGGAATTGGACCTCCAATAACCTCACTCAGACGACGAAACACTACATAAGTATTGTTTCACGTCGGTTTTCTGTGAGACCGTGGTATCACTCCGGTCGAGCTGGCCCATTCGTGGCGAAGCGTTGCTCTCCCACACTACTACCTGTATAATTGATTTTTATAATTGACAATAGTGATAACAATCAAAATTACTATCAGAAATTCTTCTTTAATTATCATTCCTCTATAACAATATCCTTAAAAACCTTTATCTTTGACAAACACGTCAACCTACCCCAAACCGTACAATTTCTGTAACAAAAATCCAACTTTATACTCTCATAATAAAGTCGAAAATTGAGGTATACAAACAAAAATGTATTACCATAATCTTGCCAAAGGATCTAAATTAGGCGTGCCTTCGAGAAACAGGCACGTACAAGTTTACGTGTTGAAGTAAAAAAGACATTAAGCTGGGTGACGAGTTACTTACATCAAGTTATGTATATCTGTGTATTGTGTACCAGGGCTTTAGAGATTACTAGAAGTTTCAAAGAATTCTTTAGACACTATCGGTAGTAACGACGCTTTAACGCGCGATGATAAACTCACTGTACTACTATGCTACATATTTTTTGAACTGCCATCAGTAGGAACTACGCTAACAGCCTATTACTGAGCAATTGCTGTAGCCTTTTTTGATAAAGTATGGAAACTATCAAAATAAAAGTACCCAGCTCTTTGGGGAGGAAGTCTAGGGAGTGGAATTTTTACCTCTTTGAAGTCGTCCCGGTGGTCACCATCAGCATATTATTATATAAAGGAGTACTGTGCTAAGTCTTCTAAATAAACCACGTTCGAAACCCTACTGTCATTTCTGGCACATCTCTAGGTGTTGCTATAGATCAAGTGTTTGTTCAATACTAGGAGATAAAGAGTGTGTTGCTCGCCATTTGGGATATAGATTAATGATAGCAATTCAACTTATCGTAGGAACTTAATAGAAAGACAAAGTGAACAATATAAAAAATATAACTGATCCTTTCTCATTAATCGTATTGCGGTGAGATTGTAATATCTAGTCAGTTTTATATCCGTGTTTGAAACGAAGGAACGTCTTGAAAACGAATCTCTGTTTTACGGTATTCTGAACTTTGAGATGTAAAATTATACGGTTTATTATGCTTTACGATTTTTAGGTATATTTAGTGGGTTATTCTGTTTGTCAACGAAGACTGGGCCAGTACTGGACTTCTTTCAGAAGACAATTTGCTGTAACCTCCACGTGTAGCTTGCTTTTTTTTATCTAATACCTATTCGAGCAATTCGGCTGGAAGGGCAGGAGTAGTAACGGGATGGTTTTTAGTCAATAAGAGTCTGACACTCCGCCCCGCCTCACCAAAGTCATTCGATGATTCCCCCCCTTAAAAAAACCATTTTCTTGAGATTTTGTATTTAGGTTGTTTCAGGTCCGATAAATAGATCTAACTAGGTTCTATTTTCAAAAAATGACGTATACTAGAAAAATATCGAGCAAAGCTCAGTTATATAGGTACTGTAGTAAATAGGATGGCGTATGGCCACCATCTCGGCTGGTGGTAAGCGATGATTTGGAGGTGCGGTTTAATAAAAAAGTTCAGCTTTATCATAAAGCACTGCTGTCCGATCTCTGTCAAATGTGTAGATCTTTAACTACATACTATTTACAACACACACTGAAAAAAAATGTGTTCTACCCTATCGTCACAATATATTCTTCAATATCAAACATAATAATGTGGGAGAGCCATGCTTCGGCACGAATGGGCCGGTCGACCGAAGTGAAACCACGGCCTCACAGAAAACCATGTTTCGTCGTGTGAGTAAGGTGTTACCGGACGCTCAACTATCCCCTCCCCACCTTTCCCAATCTCTCCAATCCCTGAATCGCCAGCAGCATTTCTAAAATTTCTAATCCCCAAAAGACCGGTAACGCACTTGTAACGCCTTTGATGTTCCAGGTGTCCATGGTTGACGCCGAATGCTTACCATCAGTTGATCCGTCTGCTCGATTACTGGCTTATCCCATATAAAAATAAAGTACCTAATTAACGCTTTCAATTCAGATTCAAAGTAAACAAGGATATAATGAGAAGTATTGATTTATACATATTACACGTATTTCCAGTCTGAAAGAATCTCATTACAGGCTAGGCTCAAACACGTCTAACTATATGGTATATTGTATAGGTATGTATGTAGAAATATGTAATTACGGTAGACAGAAAAGCTGTGAGATATAAGGGTGTTGATTTAGTGTTTAGCGGAGAGGTAGCGATTTTGGGTCAATTTTTTTTAAGCGAAATGAAAGTGGTTTAGTGAAAGTGAAGAATAGCATGTTTTTTGGATAGTGAACTTTATCAACCCTCATTAAATTGGAAAATCACTTATTAGAGCTGAAGGTACTTACCTACCTAGCTTTTTCTTTTTCAGGATAGTAAAGAAGAAGCTTAAGATTTTACATTGTAACGTTAAACATTAAATCGTGCAATTAATTCAAGTCCTTTTGGGTCATTTTGTAGTGTCAAAAATCGATCCTTATCCACAGATTTAAGATTGATACATGTTATTAATATCGCCTGTAATATAAACTTTTTTTAATGATGATATCACTTTTTTATCAGTTTTGTGTAGGGAAAAAAGCGTCTTGGTCTTTCTTATAGAGCTCAAAATAAACCCTACCCTGGTTTACTTATACCCTTCAAACCGCAACCCAAAGCTTTCCTTCATCACGCCAATTTGCGGGAAAAAAAGATTTATAGCGAGAAAAGTATATCCCAGTTAATAAAGTTCTTTCTTGTAAATTACAGGGATTTTTTTCACGTTTTATTATAGACTTGCTTTCCGCCCGCGGTTTCGCACGGTTTTTTAAGGGGTTGGAGGCTGTTTTACAAAGATAAAATGGTGCACTTTTTTTTTGTTGGTCACAAATAGTTCGCATACCATATAACATCACGATTTTTATCCCCGAAGGAGTAGGCAGAGGTACACATTACGGCCATTGTACAATGTAACACCCACTTTTTACTATTTATGTTATGAGTCCCATGTAATAGGGGGGTTAGCCTATTGCCGGCCTATATATACTGGGCTCAATTCCAGACTCCGTGCTACTACTGAGATTTTTTTTTTAAACCCAGTAATACCGCCCGACCCGGGAATCGAACCCCCTTGCCCGACAGCACTCGGCCAACGAGGCAATCCAGTCCCGCATACCAAGTTTTGTTTTTTTACCTTGATCGGAATGCTCCATACACACTAACCCTCTATTTTACGGAAGTAAGGTATTAGAAAGACACTGAAAGTGACGCATATCTTTATCCATCCTTTTGACTATCTTCACTTAAACAAATCACGTTAGTTCGACGCTTTGTTTGATCGTGAAAGATGGACAAATAAACAGACATACCTACACACTTTCGCATTCATATTATTAGTACCTATAAGTAAAGTATGAACAGTATAGATGGTGTGTCGAGCTATATTTTTCAATGGTTTGAGTAAATTCTTCGAATCTTTTTGAGTGGAATATGAAAGGGGTAAATAGATTCGTTCGTTCACAAGTGTATGAGGGAGTAAGGATGAACATAAAAGAGGGGTTTAGATGATAGTATGCAGGCATGAAGTGAATGCTGTTCTATCTTAATAACCGACCTCATTAGAATAACTCGAGTTGAGGTAAATGGATTTTGAGTAGGCTTCAAAATTCTTAATAAAAGCTTTTTTTACGGCCTAAGCCGGTAAACGAGCAGACGGATCACCTGATGGTAAGCAATCGGCGTCGCCCATGGACACCTGGAACACCATAGGCGTTACAAGTGCGTTACCGGCCTTTTGAGGATTAGGAGTTTGAGGATCGTTGGGGATTCAGGGATTGGGGAGATTGGGGAAGGGGAGGGTCATTGGGCCTCTAGTAAACTCACTCACACGACGAAACACAACGCAAGCGTTGCTTCACGTCGGTTTTCTGTGAGGCCGTGGTATTACTCCGGTCGAGCCGGCACATTCGTACCGAAGCATGGCTCTACCACACTCCCACGCTAGAAGTCTTTTAGATTTTGAAGCCGTATTTCTACTTATACTTACTTTCTTAAAGATGTTATGCTATTATGAGATCAACAGTTATAAAAACAAACAAACTTCATATATTGGAAAGTAGACTTTATTGACTCTCAGTTAGTTCGAAAATGACTAATGAGCAATTTTCAAAAGACGTTTCTTATTCTTCTTGTCTTTCTTAATTTTCTTCTCTTTATGGTTATTTTCAACCGTATCCTTAATCCACTGCTGCATCACGGAGATTTTGGTATAGACTCCAGGAACGACTCCGCAGCCAGCTCCAAAGGAGGTGATTCCAACTTGCACGTCATTCCAGGTAAGGGGTCCACCGCTGTCGCCCTGAGATCATTGGAAATATTAGCACCTTTTTGAATGCTTGGTATAGATGAGGAAGTAAAAGAAATGTGATTATAATTGCAAGTGCTCTATGATCCCGAGTGAAACACTTTTGAGGATTCATTCTTTGTTTGTGATCAAAATGTAAATCGACGATCTCGCTCGATAGATGGCGTTAGGATCGAATTAGATCGCGCTATGGTTTCGTTACACGTAGGGTAATTGACCAACTTCAAATAAATGAGCATTAAAGAGCACTTATCGAATCAGCAACCAGCAACTCAGAGCATAATAGTCGTTTTATTTTGAACTCTATTAGTGTTCCCACTAGACCAATTATTGTTCGGCTCGGCAATAATCATTCTTAATAAGAATTTCGATCTGAATCATATTATTATCTAGGTTTATATTTTACAGAAAAAATTTTGTTGCACTTAAGAGAAAGTTTTAATATATTTATAAACCGACTTCAAAATACGGGTGTAGAAATCGGTTATTTCAAATGTAGTATATAAAAAAATAAACTTTAGGTGGCTGTTTCTTTTCATTCTGTAACAATACACAATAGATAATAGCTATTGCACAGATAACATAATTTTTTATTTGTCTGTTTATTGATAGTAAAACGTGGGTGTAAGACAAATAGGCACTTCTTTGCTTATCCTCTTATTAGAATATTATCGACCCGCCCCGGCTTCGCACTTCGAATTACTATATCTATTAAATAAACTGCATCAAAATACGTTGCGTAGTTTTAAAGATCTAAGCATACATAGGGACAGACACGGCGGATAGCGGATGTTTTATACTATGTAGTGATACAGCACAGCAAAAATCTTAAACATACTACCACTTACCGAGCAAGAATCCCTGCCTTTTCCACCAGCACACATCATCCTCCTAGTGATACGTCTCTGAATTCCGTATGACAACTGACAACTCAGCCACGGCACTACAGGTACTGAAGTCTGCTGGAGATCCTCCGATATCTTGCCTTCAGGCTGAAACAAATGAGAAACACGAAAATACCAATGAAGTTTAATTACGTAAATGCTTCAAAATACACTTAAGAGCAGATAAACAGCGCCACTAACGGTTATTTTTTACCGAACACTCTATAATTTAAAAAATAATAGGTATTCCTATTACCACAAAATTGTCTGTTACAAGTTACAACAGACTGGCTCGTTGGCCGAATAGTCGCAAGTGCGACTGCCGGGCAAGGGGTCTCGGGTTCTATTCCCGGGTAGGGCAAAGTACTACTGGGTTTTTTAAAAAAATGTCAGTGGTATAGCAGAACGGAGTCTGGAATTGTGGTCGGTATAATATGGCAATAAGCTCACCCCCTAATACATGGGACTCATAACATAAATAGTGAAAAGTGCCGCGGAGGACTTGACGGGTTGTCGGGGCTCCGGCTCGAAGTGCGGGAGTAGGAACAGGTAGGTTTTTAGTCAGCAAGAGTGTAACACTCCTTCCCGCCTCACCCGGTCAGGAGAAGTCATTCGATGATTATTTAATGAAAATTATTTTGAAGAAACAAGTTATATTCATTCAAAATTAGAACAATGGCGTAACTGTTACTTAACAGAAGTGGGTGTACTATAAAATTCATTTAACTTTTAAATCTTCCTTTTGATAGCATTTTAAACAATGATTTATTCTGCACAATCCATTTTCCTTTCCTTAAAAATGGTCCCAATCTTTTAAACCCACGCACACCAATATAATAAGATTTTTACCCTCGTAAGTATTCATCTCTAAAGCCAATTTCTAAAGACAGTTATAAATATAAACATTTAGGCACCCCCCTCTCATTATGGACGTCTATTAATTTCTGTCTAGACTCGAGTGTCAATATCAATCTAGTTCCAGATTTGTTATAAGACTATAATGAGTTTGTTCGTATTTTCTATTTTGTCACTGGAGGCTGACAAATAAGTTTTTGGCGGAAAGATGGATGATGTTGTCTGATTTATTAGTAGTAGTTTTTTACGGAGTAGGAGTACCACGGATCACCTGACGATAAGCTAAAGTGCCGCTTGTGGATATCTGTCACACCTGCATAGGCATATGGTTACTATCAGGCGATTGATCAGCATATTTGCTGCCCTATACCACATTATATCTCGAGCGTACGGCGCGTCGAGTTCCGCGCGCGCCTCAAAGAGCCATCAGACCACCACAGATGGGGCCCAATAGGGCCGATGCCGATTCGGAGTCGCGGAGAACCTAACGGGTAACCGGGGCTCCGGCTCGACGTGCAGAAGAAGGAACGGGGTGGTTTTTAGTCAGTAAAAGTCTGACACTCCCTCCCGCCTCACCCAGGCGGGAGCAGTCATTCGATGATTTTCCCCTCTTAAAAAAAAAAATACCACATTATATATTAAAAAATTAGTGTGCATCTAGTGTATGTGGTACACCATTCAATAACTCGTCCCTTCCCACGTATTTTTTTATGAAATAGAAAGCAAACGAGGTGATCCGTCTATCACCTAATGGCAAACGATCAGCGCCGCCCATGGACACGCGCAACACCAGAGGAGCCACAGGTGCGTTGCCGGCCTTTTAAAATGGAATACGCATAAGATTAACTAGCAAATACACCTTCGGATTTATGATAATAAATGAGTCGGGATAAAAAAGTTATATACGTAGGAACCTATATATTATTGTACAAAAGAGAGTAATCTTCGTCTCCGCCTTTTATTTGTGTGCGTATCTATGTATGTATTTACGAGTGAGTTAATATAGAAGATGAAATTCTTACTAAGGTTATTTATTTAATAAGCCAGCTAGCTGTATTTGGGTACTTGCCAACTAGTCAAATTCAATACTTTTTTGTTTTCGAACTGTCAAAAACTACCGTTTTCTATGAATTTTGTACGACATTGTGTATTGTGAAGTCAAGTCTTTTTAGCGTTAAACAGTATACTAATTTAAATAAAATGCTGGAAAAATACTAAAATTAAGTTATTCATAAAATCAATTAATGAAAGTGTGATTATTTTTTAATATTTTATTCTAATAAAGAGTCGAACAAAATATTTTTGATTAAGGCAATTATCGTTCACATGAAAATTAATCATATTTTTCAGAATATAAGTCCTATTTTATTCTGAACACTAGAGGAGTTACAGACAGATACTATTGATAATTAAATTGTTAATTTACACATCTAAACCTATGAGCCCTTAGCGCGCTTTGAAACTAATCGAGTTCCTCGACAAACAGTTACGTAAGTCGAAAAACATAATAATATAGGAGGTCTACCAAAAAATATAAAACAAATATGTACATCTAAAACTTTTTTCACTTCAAGTTGATTTTTATGGCCTCGTTGGCCGAGAGGTTGCAAGTACGACTGCTGGGTTCGAATCTCGGGGCGGGCAAAGTGTTACTGGGTTTTTAAAAAAGTCTCACTAGAAACACGGAGTTCGGAATTATGTGGTCCGATTACATGGGACTCATATCATAAATAGTGAAAAGTGGGTGTTACATTGGACAGTGGCACTAAGTGCCGTAATGTGCACCTCTTACAACCCCCTAGGGGATAAAAGGCGTTATGTTATGATGATGAGATTGATACTTCTGACACCTGCGGGAAAATCAGACGTGATGATATTTTACTCTACCACACAACTATTTAATTTCTTGTATTTTAAGGCCAGTAACGCAACACGTGACTCAGCTGTTGCGGGTGTCCATGGGCGGCGCTGATCGCTTACCATCAGGTGATCCGTCTGCTCGTTTGACTTTAATAAAAAAAAAACTCAACATATCTCAACTAAAAACACGCGCGCATACCCACATAAGAACATAAACACCCACACACACACACATATACACACAAACAAACAAACACACACACCCAAAAATCACACATACATTCATAAAGTTCCATAGTTAGTATTATATAAAAAAAAACTGTTTTATCATTTTCAATTAATTTTTTTTTCTCTTCATTTGTATTATAAGGTTTTGCTGACTAAAAGAGACTGGACCTCACGACACAGGGAATCCTAGTGTGGGAACCAGAGCTATATAAATATGTAATGTGAAGCTTTTTGTCAATAAACATATTTTTTTTTATTTAAAAAAAAAACTCACCTGCGTATATCCCCAACCAGTAGCATTCAGCTGCAATCCTTTCTTCAGCTTCACGATGTTCCCAGTCAAGGCAACTTTAGCTACTTTCGGTCCAAAAGTCAAGCTTTCGTTCAATTTCAGTATGCAAATGTCATAGTCCTCAGTAACATTGGAATACTGTTCGTGTATTATAATTTTTTCCACATCATACAACTTTCCTCCTTCGTCAACTTTGTCAGTGCCCACCAGGACTTTGAACTCTCGGTTCCTGAAAATAGAAGTGGGAATTCCTTGTGTATACTTTGCTTTTTATGTAATATGGATATAAATACATAAGGATGTATATTGAAAGCCTTTTCGAGGAAATTGAATATTTGATGTTGTATGTATTCAGATCCTTTCTGAATTAGTGTATTTGGAGCTTGAAATGATTATGTATTAATGTGAAAAATACCTACATTATAGATCTTATTTCCAATGTTTAGAGACTACTTTTGTATGAACAAATTAAGGGGATGCTTTTCAACTATTTTCAACGGGTTAAGTGTCAAAATCATTCAATGACTGCTCCCGCCTGGGTGAAGCGGGAGGGAGTGTCAGACTCTTACTGACTAAAAACCACCCCGTTCCTACTCCTGCTCATCGAGCCGGAGCCCCGGCAACCCGTTAGGCCTTACGCAGCTCAACTCGTACAATTACATCCACCTTTTTTGTTTTTTTTTTTTGAGGGTGGAAAATCATCCAATGACTTCTCCCGCCCGGGTGAAGCGGGAGGGAGTGTCAGACTCTTACTGATTAAAAACCACCCTCTATCCACCACCCTACCATTAAAAACACATGGCCTCGGACTTGTGGAGCGCCACCTTGAGTCCCAGTTGCCGGATTCTTTCAACGACTGTCGTAACCGCTCTCGCCGTTAAATTAGCCGCCGCCTGATGCGACCTCCCGTGTGCTAACACCAGTGTGTCGTCAGCGTAACAGACCACGCTGACGTTGTTCGGGAGGTCGGTGCGCAGCACCCAGTCATAGCCGATGTTCCACAGGAGCGGCCCCAAAACCGAACCCTGTGGAACACCGCGCGACGTCTCTCGCCGGTTTCACTCACCTCGGTGACTGGGGTAAATGACGGACCGTTCCGTCAGGTATGCCTCGAAATTACATCCTCCTACATCGGACTCATAACATAAATAGTGAAAGTGGGTGTTACATTGTACAGTGGCATTAAGTGCCGTCATGTGCACCTCTGCCTACCTCTTCGGGGATAAAAGGCGTCATGTCATGTAAACTCCACAAAACTTATGTCCATAATCGATTAATATCTAAGACTTAGAATTATGATAGATTATTAAAATTGGCAGTAAGCAGGCATTCGGTAGCATGATTGCTGAATACAGAGACCTCAGTTTTTGTTAGTGAAATGGAACAAAGTATTATTAAACTGTATTGCTATACGATAAAGGTTCAGAATTCATTGCAACAAAAAATATGTTACGCTTCTTTTTAAAAAATTGTCACCGAAAAATAGACTTGTACTGCCAAGAAATAAAGTTCATTTTTCTATAGCATTAACAGCTTTATATATGTCGTTGGTTAGATCTAAAATTATCCCCGATCAGCTAAGGCTATTGATTGCACACTGCCCTCATTTTCAACAACAAGAAAAATATGTATCAGCAGAATTAATTGCCAACCTAGTTACATAGGAAAAAGCTATCAATTTTGAACTTTTGTCTATATAGGCTATAAAATAAGGTTCTTCAAGAAGGTAGTAAGTAGGTTTTATAAGGGTATACAAGGCGCATGTAATGCCCCGAGTGTTGCAAGCGTTTATACGCAACGGTAACCACTTACCATCAGATGGGCCGTGTGTTTTTCTTACCTTGCCTGTCGTGGTATAAAATAATATACATATGAGCCACATTAACTACATAAGAGGAAGGGTATGTCATAATTTCGTCTTTTGACAAAGTTCTGGTTTATCAGAGATCGGTTATAAACAAGTGACAAGTGAAACAACTGAATTTATTTCTGCAAATAGGCTACAAGGCAGCACTTTTACACGTCAATTTTATCAAGCGAACGATGAGGTCGACATTTCCTACTACTCTGAGAAGAAATACCGAAACAAACTCAGAGGTCCAGACAAATATGTATAAAAGATTATGTGTGAGAAGTTCGAGAGAAGAAGAAGAGAGTTCTTTCTGTAGTGGCCTTTTGAGGAAAGAACCACAACAGTTTGAGCGTACCCGTTCTTAAGGCAGTATGCATGTGTCGGTTTACAGTCAGCTCAATTAACAGGTGAGGCTGACTGATTCGACGAACAATACCAACCTAAAGAACATTTGCGTGGGTCGCACAAACACTCAAACTGTCAGAATATGGGTAATTGGAAAAGAAATGGCGAGGCAAAGTCTCGCACGGCCCTAGCACTAACAAACTAAACAATTTCTTAAATTTAATATAGTAGTTTCAAGAAAATCATTCGAAAATACGTGATAGACATTTTCTAGGACGACATCACAAAGAAAAAGATTTTATCTAAACTCCTTTTAAAGATAAATCGTCTAACGAAAGGTGAATCAGTCTAGATTTTGAGCTAAGTCAGCCTACAATCAGTCCATTGAAAAAAGCTTTTTTACATCTAAAATTTTTGGTCCTATAAATCAATTCGGAATATATTTACTCCTAGTTTTACGAGGACGAAGGTTGAATTATTTGAACCTGATTTATGTAGAAAATGTTTCTAGCAAAAAGCTTCTTTGAATAATGTTAATTCAGTACATGAGCAAGTTTGATTCCATGTACCAATTGAAATCAAGTCAGCACTTTTAAGACGTTATGACTGCACGGTTGGTGCGGTGGCTGGGCAACTGGCTGCCGTGCAACGTGTCGCGGGTTCGATTCCCGCACGAGACAACACTTTGTGTGATCCACAAATTGTTGTTTCGGGTCTGGATGTCATTGTGTATGTGAACTTGTATGTTTGTAAACGCACCCACGACACAGGAGAAAATCCTAGTGTGGGGCAACGTTTATTTAATAATAAATAAGTAGAACCCAATATTATTTTTAATACAGCCAAAAGTTTATTCAAAACCATGCGAGGGAGGCTCCAGCTCGACTTGCAGGAGAAGGAACGGAGTGGTTTTTAGTCAGTAAGAGTCTGATACTCCCTCCCGCCTCACCCAGGCGGGAGCAGTCATTCGATGATTTTTCCCCTTGAAAAAAAACATGCGCGGGAAACTACTAATCTGTCACATTTGTCAGATGACAGCGTCAACATGACAGCTAGTACTGTTCGATAACACAGATTGTATTAGTGACGTTCATTTAGTGGATTTTTTGGCGTCTAACAGTATTTACACGTAAACTTTGTTTTTTCTAATAGTGACTCTTATGGTTCTATCCAAGTGAGATACGTGACTGAATAACTTTTGGATAATATGGACCATGTACGGATACATGGAAACACTGATGACTGTTGACGAAGCGAAAGAGGTATGTAGGAATCGTTGCAATTGGTTAAATAGTCTCTGCTTACCCATAGGAGACAGGTGAGGTTATGTATGTATGGATCGTATCCCATAGATATCGACGATTATTTATAAAACTCTTGTCAAAAGCATCATAACTATTAAAAAGACTACAATCAAAATAAAATATTCGAATCTTTTGTCAAATGAAAACATTCTACTTGTACGTATATTTTTTTCCGGTTTTCATTTCCTCCCCTTTTGATAAATCAAGAGGCATAAATTGGACCTTCATTAGATGCTACTGAAGGCCCATAGAAAGTTATATTTCAAGTATAAAACGACCTCATTATGTATGTTTTCTATGAGAATTTTACATTTTTTTATGTAATAAACAGAATTAGTCGTATAATATTGTCTTTAGATTTTTAGATTTAGTCTTTTTGTTCTAGTCTTTTAGTTCTAGTTTTGTATTTATAATTGTTTGGCAAAGAATTATAAATACCAAGTTCCAAGATCTCCCGATAACCTTTCATTTTTTGTCTGCTGCAAACGGCTTATGAAAATACTGAGTACGAATAATAAACACAAATAAATAATACAATATCTAAATAAATAGAAATAATAAATCTACTGGCTCATTTACATTCTATGATATGTGATATTCTTCAATCTTTATTTCTTAGTAAATATTATTTATGTTATATTAATTTTAGATGCAAATAATAACTCGTAGTAACAAAACAATGTTATCGTATGTGTTCGAAATAATGACGTATCTCATTACAATAAAGAAATAAGTATAAATATTGTATTTTGAAATAAATACATGAACTGATTTCAGATAACGTAATTTATTTTGATACATGTGTTAATTAATGCTGTTAAAACTTTTTTTGTTATAATTTTTAATGACTATAAAATTATTTTGTGTGTGTCCCAGTATACAAAGAGGCGGTAAGTCAGTATAAAGTTAGCAAATATTTTTTTATACTTTGATAGGTTGACGTTGCAAATCTCAGAGCTGACCAATTATTTGGTTAATAACATAAACCATGTCTATATGTCTTATATGAATAAAAATCTATATCTATAATAGAAAACAAATCAAATGAAAGACCTATCTTTCACTGAACTAAACTATTAGTTAGTGATTTTTGAATTCATTCTCCATAAGTCATGTTCATAGGCGGTGCCTATTGCTTACCATCAGGTGTTCAGTCTACTCGTTTGTTTTACAATAAGATTGGTTATTGAGTTTATCTAGATAGATAGATAGATAGAAGAAATAAAAAACTTACGGCACAATACAATGAGCAGCAGTCAGTATGAACCGTTCATGAATGATGGAGCCTCCACACCAGTGGAAGGTGCCGTTGAGCCGCAGTGACGCTATGTACGGCACCGACTCGATGGAGATCTTGTGACCACCTATGATGCCAACGTTGGGCTGCTTCTCTTCATGTTCTGGTGAAAGAATTCAGTTTGAAATTGGATTTTGTGCCACGCCTTGCCTTTCAATAAAATAAAGAGCAATCTGTTTTACATCGGCGTATTACCTGTCCTCATCTATGGTAGCCAAACATGGGCCCTGACTCAAGATCTGTCAAATAAACTTGCATCCTGCCATTATGCAATGGAGAGGAGCATGATAAACGTAAAAAAGGGACAGAAAAAGGCAAAAAGACATCAATACATAGTATAAAACAAAGTCGCTTTCGCTGTATGTCCGTATGTATGCTTAGATCTTTAAAACTACGCAACGGATTTTGATGCGGTTTTTTTTAATAGATAGAGTGATTCTTAAGGAAGGTTTGTATGTATAATACATGCATATTGCACCCGTGCGAAGCCGGGGCGGGTCGCTAGTACGACATAAAACAAAAACCACAGATGTAACATTAAAAACAAAAAGATTGAAATGGAGATGGGCCCCATATAATCAGAGGGCAAGAGAAGTGGAGCATAATGATGACCAGATAGCACTCCAGTGAAGGAGCCAGGATAAGGGGTAGACCTCTTAAAAGATGGGATGATGTCCTCAGGCAAGTGCAGGGGTTACATGGCACAGAGTAGCTCAAGAACGTCGTGAATGGAAAAGGTTGGAGGAGGCCTTTGCCGACTGGCAAACAGATCTTCAGAAAATCAGTAATATAGGTATTTTATAGATACTAGACCTAAGTAAAGTAAATATTAAGCAGTTTTAAATTATGTAACAGTTGTAATTTGGATCTGAATAAAGGGCTATTTTATTTTTATTTATTTTCAGTTAGAGAGTATGAATTTATTGTGTGTCTACAAAAAGAAAGATTAGTTTTCATATTTATTGATTTTGGCCCTTGAAAATTTTACCAAAGTTCGTAAATACGACAGCCATAAAACAATATGGTGAAGGGCAAGAATGGTTTCTTTACATCAAAGAGTATTATTACCACACTTGGTAGGCTGGTTAGAAATCAGAGAAGAAAAAAATATGTCTTTTTAACTAAAACAATTATGTATATTGAAAAATTTGCATACTTGATAAAGAATTTGCAATTTTGAAACCAATCTATCTAAAAGCGACTGTACCAAAACTAAACAAGACAACATGATACCAAAATTGCAATCTTAATCTTGATATACCAGTGCAATCCAGAACCCAGCGATTGCAGAGCATACAAACTCAAATTGCAATATCTTGCAAAGAATTGGCACGGATTCAAAATTCGCTCAGTTTACCCACTTTTATATAACATGGGACTCATGTAGAATGTAGCTAGTTCTTTGTAGTTTAACAGTTATGCAATAGTGGACCGTGTTGCTTTAAAATACGTCTTAATTTAAATTGAAATAAACGTTAACTTTCTGAACTATGCTTTTGTGTCTAATTGGGTTATTTTGAACGTGATGATTATGATACAATTAATTTTACAAGAAAAACAGTACTTTTTTAAGGGGGGAAAATCATCGAATGAATTCTCCCGCCTGGGTGAGGCGGGAGGGAGTGTCAGACTCTTACTGACTAAAAACAACCCCGTTCCTACTCCTGCACTTCGAGACGGAGCCCCGGTAAGCCGTTAGGTTCTCCGCGGCTACGTATCGGCAAGAAAAAAAAGGTAATATTTTGTAATTCTCCTGTGGCTTAAGCTAACCTATTGTTATACAAAACCAAATAACCTAAAATATAAAAGAGTTTCTATACACATACGGTCCAATTTTATAGAATCTTTGTAGTAGATACACCTGTTATTTCCCAGCGGAGTAGACGGAGGAAAAGATAGGTATATACTTTAAATGAAATAGGCACACAGTAAATGTCTAGGTTTCTTTTCTTTTTTTTCATGGAATAAGCCGGTAAACGAGCAGATCACCTGATAGTAAGCAATTGGCACCGCCCATGGATACTTGAATCACCAGAGGCGTTACAAGTTACTTATCATCTAACATAACATCATCACGCCTTTTATCCCCGAAGGGGTAGGCAGAGGTGCACATTACGGCACTTTATGCCACTGTACAATGTAACACCCACTTTTCACTATTTATGTTATGAGTCCCATGTAATAGGGGGTGAGCCTATTGCCATATACCGGGCACAATTCCAGACTGTGTGCTACTACTGAGAATTTTGTAAAAACCCAGTAATACTTTGCCCGACCCGGGAATCGAACCCGAGACCCCTTGCCCGGCAATCGCACCTGCGACCACTCGGCCAATGAGGCAGTCATCTAACACTTCAGTTATAAATAAGTAACTACTATATAAATAAACTTACTTCTAATGTTATGTCCATATGCACAACTTATTAACACAAACAGCAACAAGACCCGTCCAGGCAACATGGCGGTAAATCCAAAATGGCGACGATAAAATCAGTTACAACGTTATTTATTAATTCTGTTATCAATTTGCTAATTAATTAGGAGTTTTTGTTAGGAGAAAAGGTATTTTAGTTTGTACGGCTAGTATAGTTAGCAAATAGGATATGTATGTAGTTTTTTGGATATACGCACATATGAGTTGAAATGTCGTAAGGACGATGCTACTTATATAGTGCCTAGTACTCTAGCTAAAAGGAATGACGATATCCGTAAGGTAGCTGTTAGATGCGTAGAGCTGAAGATCGAGCTCAGTAGTATACCAATTGGAGAGGACAGTAGATGAGAGCGGGCTGAGGTTGATGAAGTACGATTGCTTTTTAGGACCCCGTGCCCCTTTAGGGGGACCCGGTGGCACCCTGGTGGCCACCTTCAACACCTGTAAGGGGTACAGGTGTTGAAGGTGGCCACCAGGGTGATTTTACCGAGGTAAAAATCCCAAGCCAGCTTGCTTTTTGAGGAGAAAGACTTCCCTAGTCTTATGACGGACTATGTCTAAGACTCCTTATAAAGGTTTAAAAAAAACGTATCTGTGCATAGATATATATGTTGTTTGATCATTCAATCCATTCCATCCATTTGGCATCCCTACTCTTCCTTCGGGTTTCTATGTGTCTAAGGACCAATGCTGTTACCTGGTCTTTGTCAAACATGTAGTAGATTGAATAGAACCCGCGCATTACTGCGGTTAAATAAACCTGAACCTTTTGAAGTGTGGTTTCCAATCTGACTATCGAAGGTATAAATTATGCTATACCTTTTCATGTGCAGGAGGTCCATAGTTTAGCAGTTTACTGTCATATAGTCATATGCTGTTGATTTTAAAACTTCAGTCAGCCATTTTTCAACCCAATTGTTCTGTCGCGGAGAACCTAAAGGGTTACCGGGGCTCTGGCTCGACGTGCAGGAGAAGGAACGGGGTGGTTTTTAGTCAGTAAGAGTCCTTCCGCCTCACCCAGGCGGGAGCAGTCATTCGATGATTTTCTCCCCTTAAAAAAATGTCTAATCTGGAGATTATTATATTAGCAAAATTTGTATTTGTAGAAGTTTATTATGTATGTACCTCTTGTTGTGAAAGAGCGGAGTCTCCTAACACAGGCATATCTTACTTAAAAGGAGGCTCCAATCACATTTTCCGACGACCTAAGTCAATTTTTGGTAATAAACGATTTTTAATATATTTAAACCTTCTCATATAGGTAAAGGAGACCTGTAATCCAGCAGTAAACTATTATAAGCTGTTGATTTAACTCTTTGAGTACCGTCATTATAGACACAATTAAAGAACAATAGGTTGCGGTCACCGGTGTCCTCGCGGTGTTTGACAGTGTAAACCTCAATCAGCCATTGTTTCTACTCTTAAAACTTTAATCAGGTTTTAAAAACAGATATATGCAAATAAATAGGACATTTAGATACACATTTCCGTTCTCATAACAATGAAAATTTACCGACCATACATACCATCAGCACACAATTAACATATATTATATTAATGAGGTTATTTGAATAACTAAATCGATAAACGGTTTTGATGGAATAATATGTGATTTTAATCATTTGTTTTTACTAATTACTTCATTGTAATCATATTATTTTTGGTCTGTAGGTGATTTGAATGTCATGGTGGTTCTATGGTGAGGGACAAGGTCATTCTTAACCCGTCGTATGTTTAAACGTGGATCCACGCGAGAGACAATGTATTTTCTATTTTGTCTCATATACAGGCATTCAAACGGTTAAGCATGTCTGTCCAGGTACCGATGTAACTTATTCTACCATTCTATTATTTTATTCTCAATCAATTTAGACACCGGTACAAAGATAATGTATAGAACAACACATAGATAATATCGAGTAGGTACAGGAAATTGCTATGATAGAATAGTAAGAAATTTCTTCTTCTTAGTTTTTCGGAGACTTGGCTTAGAATTTCAGACGTATACCAATAAGCAGATGGTGGAGAATAAAAATTGCTTCGTCTGCGTCACATATCAGTAATTTTTCTCATTGACTAAAGCCAAAGATACAAGGGTACAAATGTCCCATTATCGACAACATGTCAAGCGAAGCCTGCCGATGTTGCCCGACATGTTATAAGGTTACAAGACGCGCCTTATTTGTACAGCGACGTTGATGTTGCCAGACATGTCGACCAAAGACTGGCAACGTCACGCTACTTCACGCAACGTCTCTGGCAACACGTGTCGCAGAACATTTGTCCCCTAGGGTATCTTTGGCTTCGAAGATCTTTATGCTTGATTCAAAAATGATTAGCCTACCAATCATTATACGCATAGCCATTCCTATTCATCAAAGTAAATAAGAGATAATATCGGACCCGAGCTTAAAGGTATGATTTCCTGATAATTTTCTTAAAAGAACTTTGAGAAGCGATTCGAAACCAAAAGGGTCATGTTTTGTAGTACTTTCTAAAGTAAATTATCCCACAAATACGATATGATATTTCGCTTGATTTTCTCTGAAAGGCTAGCAGAATTGAATAGGACGCATCGATAATGTCTTTCATGATTTTCTTAGGAAATTAACGACCATAAAGTAGGTCTTTATAAAAATAAAGAGCATCGAGATCTATGTGTGTATATCGACAAGTACTAAGAATATTTTTATACAGCTAAGGTTGAAATACCTACTCCAATTTTTAAGTTACGCTTACGTATAGTTCTATACCCGAGCGTACGACGCGTCGCATTCCGCGCGCGCCTCAGAGAGCCATCGGACCACCACGAATGGAGGCCCAATAGGGTTACGGGAGCTTCGGCTCGAAGTGCAGGAGAAGGAACGGGGTGGTTTTTAGTCAGTAAGAGTCTGATACTCCCTCCCGCCTCAACCAGCCGGGAAAAGTAATTCTATGATATTCCCCCAAAAAACGTAGATATAGTTCTGTCACTACAATATCTTTGTAAAATGACAGAGATGGCATAATATTTGAGTACAACTTTCTTTCCTTTTAATATTCGGGTGTAAGCAAATCTGTGTATTTTTAATCACCTACAAATTTCTTTATTTATATTTCATAAAGAAAAAGTATTAATAAATACGTTTTAATTCAGACTGGAATAAGAAACAGGGAATTAAATCAAGAAGGTACCTCATATTTATGCAATATTTAGACGTTCTATCCAAAAAATTAATACACTATGAATATTAAAAAAAAACAACCATGAAATGTAAATATCCACCTTCAAACAAGGTCAAATAAATACAAAATACCTTGTCGTACATGTAAAGAAGATACACAGGAATTTTCACGACAACACACTTTCATTTATTATTCTTCCTAAAGCAGTGGTTCCCAAAAGATGGGCCGCAAAAAAAAAGACAAAGGATATACGATTACCAAATAAAAATATCACGATTAAATGAAAACTTTCGTGGGACTTATTATGTTAATTATTATGTTTTCGGCTTACTCACGTAACTGTAGCTTAAATCTAGCATGGCTTGAAACTAGTTGAGAACAGTTACTCGAGTAAGCCGAAAACATAATAATTAACCACGATTAAAGCTAGCTCAGTGACAATTCAACTGATTTTAATAAACAAAAAGTCATCATTTTTATAAGAATGAATTCACAACTATTGATATAACCTTAATGTTCCACATGCAAAATAGTAACAGTGGTTTCCAACCTAACAAGAATATTATTAAAAGGGCTCTCGACTAAGATCAGGGTACATACTCTTGAAACCACTCTCAATGTCAATACAATTTCAATCCAATAAAATCTCAATAATTATTCAATGTCAAAACTATACAACCCCAATCCTAGCTATTAAGATAGCATTCAGAGTAAGGAATATAAAGCCAAACTCAATCTCATTTAGTTCATTAAATATCCACGCAATACGGATGCAATGGGCGCTAGTGTTGCAGCTCAAGAGTACGAAATTTCACAATACCAATGTCGATGGATCGGAATTGGATTCAAGAGTAAGCCCCCAGGTTGGGAACCCCTGTCTTTGAGAATGCCGTCTACATATTGCCTGGGGATGTTATGTAAAAACAGGACAGGAAAAGTTTTGTCTATTTTCTATACTGCTTACATGTATCGAGTATTTTTAGACGGGAATATAATCTTGTTTGACTATGTTATTTTTTTTGAGCCACGACGGTGGCAAGAAAAGCACACGGCCCACCTGATGGTAAGTAGTTACCGTGGCCCATGTACGCTTGCAACACTTGGGGCATTACAATTGGTAAGTAAATATTATAGTATTGTTGTATTTTAATATAGGCCTTCGTTGCCTGATACAAGTAATTAAAAAATATAAATAAATTACATGTGCCTTGCCGAACCCTTGAATAACTTATATACGCCCTTCTTGAAGAATCTCTTGTTGTGTATCGGAAAGTTAAAGTCTTAATACTTATTTGTTTAGGTATAGTGTGAACTGGTACTGATGAAGGAAGGTATCATGTATTATTTCTTTAGATATGTGGTTATTGAAGTCTGTTAATTATTGGGCTAGGTAAGATGTTGATCAATACTAATAATACTTTCATAGACTACGTTTAAAAAAACCGACTTAAACTTAAGTCAGTTATTTAATATACTTAATTAAACCTTCTTCTAAATGAAAGAAACACTTTTCTGAAAACTGCATCAAAAACGGTTTACCCAATCGCGAGATATTTGCCCACAAACATACATACCTACATATAGGTTAAATTAAGAATCTTCTTTTTTGAAGTCGGTTTAAAACTAGTGCTGATCATATAAGTGAGGTAATTTTTTCAAGGCTGTACTGTAATCAAAATAGGACACATTTTATTCTTAAGTTTTAGCGGCATCTGGGTGCTTACTCTTGAAACCAATTTCAATGTCAATGCAATTTCAATCCAATAAAATCTCAATAATTATTCAATGTCAACACTATACAAGGCCACAATCGGAGCTAGTACAATAGCATTCAGAGTACGGAATATAATGCCAAACTCAATAACACTTAGTTCAT